ATATACAGTAACGGTCTTATCACTCACTTGAAAATGTTTACATTAAGATGAGATGCCGTGAATGAATCCATCTGAGGATATATTTCTTACGATTTCAATAACGCATATGAAATATATACATTCTTAAACTGAATTTATATTCGAAGTATGAAACTTTAAAAAAATTGAAAATTTAAAAAATCTGAAAATTTTGAAATTTGTTTGAACCGTATAAGTGAACTTCAAAAGTTAAAAATCTTGGTACGGAACCCAGAAAAATTGTAACAATATTAGTACTCTGTTTAAAATCTCTATAAAATATCTGACCATTTGACGTGCATATGTCTAATGATCACTTTAGACCGCCAAATATCATTTTTTTTTGCATTTTTCTCTATATCTCCGAAACCGCTGGACTTGCCTTCCCAAAAATTAACTAATTTTTCATTTTGCCAATACAAATAAAATAATTTGAATAATTCAAGTCGAACGCTCAGTTCTCTCAAAAACTGAATTACCGTTTTTGGCACTTTCTGCCGCATATTTTCGAAACTACAAGACCTGTTTTCGCCAAAAACTAATCAACACGTCTTTTTATCAATAGGAATAGAATGTTCTTTGAAACATTTGAATCGGTTGATCCATGCGCCCGAAATCGTGGACGAAAAATTGTATCCAAACACATGCACACACACATACATACACACACGCATACATTCATACATCCATTTTCCCAAAAGTATTCCAAAATGTTCAGAAACATTTGAAACGTAAAGATATGCAAAAATTTTCATTTTCAATTTTTTTGCAATTACTATAACTTACGACGGGAAGTTAAAAATCACATATATACTTTTTTCAAATTTCGTATCAAGTGATTCAGAATAATTCCAAACGAACTAAAAATAAACATCTTTAGAAAATTATTAAATCAATAAAAATGATATGACACAAGCTGGCCCCACAAAATCTAGTAAGAACTATACATATATTTGTAATATTTAATCTTTCTCCGAAGTATGAATTAAAAATATTTATTCAAATACATATTGTGAAGTATTGCAATGTTATAATTTCTTGTTCACTTTACTTTATAACAATGTCTCACTTTTCCTTTACCAGCAACGTGTATAAAGTTAAAAGTTAAACTTCGCCAATCTATTCGCATGGAACATAGATGAAGGCAATTATTTCGATAAAAATGTTATAGTTGCAGCACTTGCATCGGTTTCAGCTGCATCGATATATAGTTCGACATATAATATAATAGTGCATCAAATGAAGTTAACAAACTTCGACATATGAAGCTCTCTAATCGATCGTGAGACGCGAACGGATAATATATCAGACCACAGGGATGAATGAAGGGTTGAGGGTGAGATGTAATGGCTTGCCTTGGCTGGTAGTAAGTGGGTGGTGTTGCATTTGAGTTTATTGCAATAATGTTATGATCGTATATTTGCAGGAATAGATATATATATATATATATATATATATATATATATATATATATATATATATATATATATATATATATATATATATTGATAATGATATTTTGATTCGGGCAGTAACACCAAGTAAAAAAACTAAAGCAGTGTGAAAAAGCTTTATTTAAACATACGTTTTGGTCTTTGTCGAGACCGTCATTCAGTGGAACAAAGAAAATTAATTACACAAAAATACACTACGCTATTACACAGCATTAAACCAAGCTATTGATAATTGGAACATTTAAAACTATATGATTTTTGACAATTTTTTTTGTTACATTCTTGTATGTACAGAATTATTGACGTCAAAATACTGAATGAATTGTGGTGACAAAATTTTGTGAAAGTGTATAAAAGTTTGGTAAATATATATTTTTGGTAAAGTAATAAAATACACGCTTTATTCAGATTTGGTGGCGTTTTAAAAAATGGCTAAGGATTATTTTATAGTCATTGCAAACTAAATTGTTGTCGATCCTCTCTTATCTATAGCTGACTCATTTAGTAATAATATTAAGCATCCTTCGCTAAATCTTCTTTTAAATAAGTTATACTAAATACTTTCGAAATGTAGAATAGTGGGATTGAAAAAATCGATGTTATGTTTGATTTCGTTGATGTGTTCTGCGAGCATTGTTTTATATTGTTTTTTTGTTATATATATATATATATATATAATATATATATATATATATATATATGTACTAGCTACCCCGACAGACTTCATACTATACTGTGTTATACACTACGGTTTATACAAAAACCGACATTTCAGAAAACCGCTTTTCTAACACTAATTTTACCTGAATCAGTAGCATTTAACGGTAAGGTCGAGTTGGCAAAAAATTGAATTAACCTTTTACCATAATTGCACTGAAAAAAAAAAACAAATCAGCCACATAACAGCACAATACATATCAAACAAACATCAAAATATGTTCAGAAATATTTGAAGGCAGTTTTTCACGGTAAAACACATTTTTGTGATATGTCTATAAATTTTTCATCTTTTCCTCATTGTACAGTCTTCAATTTTAATTAAAATCTTTAAGCAAATTATTTTTGTACTTTTCATTTTATTTATATGGGTAAGAAATGTGGTTTTTAATACAACATCTGAAACATGCATATCATTATTAATCGTTTGTGTGAAATACTCATAAAAATTACTATTAATGACTAGTAATGAATACACTAATTCATTACTAGTCATTAATTTTATTGAAGTATTAAACATAGGGCATTTTATTTATTTTTTTAATCACACATTTAAATTAATTTGAAGGGCTTATATATAAGTACAATATCAGCCATAAGCAAAAAAAACTTATTAAAATTGCACTTGATAAGTAACAAATTTTGCTCATAATTAAATATTGAATAGCTCAATATTTTAACATTATATATAAAGCAAAAATATTATTTTTTCAATGTTTGTTATTGTTTTGACTGCCTTTGTAGTTCGAACTGGTACAATTTGTCAGGCTCTTTTATAAAAAAAAATCGTAAAGTATGAAAATATATAATTTCAAAATCTTAATTTAGTAGTAAAAAAATTTTAGCAGTTTCTAGGACTCGTTAATTTTCTACTTCCAGACACTTTGTTTGATATTCATTGAATTGTTCTTTTGAAATCAAAAATACTTCTAATGCATTTTAAAAATTACAACAATTATTTTTGTCTTTCGGTTTTACTAATTAATTTTATGAAGGTTGTCGATTCAGAGTGAATCGGTTCTTCGCTATAATTATAAATTATTTATTAATTACTTAAAGACTAACGAAATTTCAGTATAATATTTCACTTATCTAATTTATTACAACCATCCAATATCCAATTTTATATTTATTGTCCTTTCTAATAAAACAACGAGCCCAAAATTAATCCAAATACCAAGA